CTGCCACTACCACTACCACTACTACGGCGGCGGCGGCGGCGACGACACGACTCAAGCTGTACTGTGAGTCACTTGATGGACTGCAAAATGTTGTTTCACTGCTGTGATTGTCGCCCGAATTGACGATGATTCAGACAGCCTTAAGTGTCGTAGAACCTGCATTTGCGGAGTCGCCAGACGCTGCCACGCGGGAGCCAAAACTACTACTACTACTACTACTACTACTCCTCCTCCTCCTCCTCCTGCTGCTACTACTACTACTACTACTACTACTACTGCTACTACGACGACGACGACGACAACAACAACTAATACTACAGTTACTGGCAATTGTTTAAGTCATGGCTGGTGTTCCTGGTTTGCGAATAACAAGAAATGGGGAAAGATTCTTGGAAAGTCATGCATTCTCACAAAACGCAGAGGAACGCGACCGGTAAGGCAGAATGGAAGGTTGCAGGACAAGACCAACTGATAGTGGAAATCGTGGGAGAATGCGCGGATCTCAGGAGTTGTCAGGATGTTGTCAGGACATGCTACATCGTTGATGTGATGCTTCCCGCTTGTAAGCATAGCAAAGATCAAACGGATCCTTAATGTCTACAGAATGGGCTTGACTTGAACCCCAGGGTATCGCTAGGGTATCACGGAAATACCACAGACTCCAACAGTTTTTGGATCAATGACACATGATTACTACCCCTTGCGACGACGACGACCACTGCCGCTGCTCCTGCTCCTGCTCCTGCTACCGCTTCTTGGTCGACCGCCGTGGGTGTAATTCCAATGGCTCTGCAAGGTTGAAATCCCTGCTGCATGCCAACCTAACCTAGTAAGCCCCATGCTCGGCGGGAGAACAGCAAGTCTGAACTCGTATCTGTTTGCATTTCGACACGGCCGGCTCTTTTCGACATGTTCTGCAGTTTCGGCATGGCGAATCCAAATTCGAAGTGTTAGTTGACACTTCGAGGTGGTATGATATTTGGCTGGTGTAGATATGTCACAAGGTGTCGGCACGGCAAAAGCGAATTTGAGCTGCTAGCTGCTAGCTGTATTGTCTCACACCTGGCGCTGCTCGGCTGGGTTTGATAGCTTCCTGTGGATTTACCTTGTGTTAGCCGTCTCTGATGCGCTTTGGTTGTATGGATGTTTGTTTGGGTTTCATCGGGGCGCAACGGGTCCCAGATCGATGTCAGCAAGTGGATCGCGATTGTGCTGCGCGTTTTGTTGGTTCCAAGCCTACTGCTCGGTACAGAGTTCAAGACACGGTGCGTGGACCATGTTGTGTGTCAGCTGCGGTTACATGGGGATACATGGGGGAACGAGCAAGCGTTGTGACTTCTGGTGAGCATTGAACTTGTGGAATAGATTTTTAAGTCTGCTTACTTCACCCGCTGTTACATGGTGAGTAACGGTTTTGCTACGACTTCCGTTGAATCGTAACACACGGTTACATGGGGGAAAAATCAACGCTCGGTACATGGATCTTGGCTGCAGCCCCCGAGATCAATGCTCGGTACGTGCATCTCGGGTTTAGCTCCCACAATCAATAATCAATGCTCGGTTCGCGGATGCTTGGGTGCAGCCCCCGAAGAATGCTCGGCACGTGCATCCTGGGTGTAACTCCCAAAGCACTGCTTGGTGCGTGGATCTTGGGTGCAGCCCCCTGAGATCAACGCTCGGTATGTTGATCTCGGGCGTAGCCGATAACATAATTTGCGAATGGCAGGTGTTGCTCCAAAAATCAGCGCTCGATTCGTGGATCGCGGTTGAAGTCCCAAGATCAAAACACAACCGAAATGTGCAGCGTGGACCTCGAGTGCTTTTCGATACACGGGGCTTCGGTTCATGTAATGAGCAAGAAAAAGCAGCGTCTACTTGTGGATTCGGTGCCAACATGCATCCTAGGTCCTAGATTGCAATGAAAAGTACTTGAGAAACCCCCGGGTCCGCCACCTTTCCTGAAAATTGAGCTTGCGAGACTTAGAGACTACAAGCGGTGTTTACATGGAGATTGCTGTGTACTCTCGCTACTGATATGTAATTCTCTGGAACAGCGTCCACACACGGGTGCTGTGTAGTCTCGCCGACGGGTGTGAGATAAACCCACCTCCTTGTATTGCGTCAATGAGCTAAGGAGTTTCATTCTCGAGCTTGGACTCTTAAAGTAGCCGTTTGAACATTTGGCGAGTTGGGTCAGTACGGTTTTTTCGACTACTCACCAGTGTTTGGTACATCATGGGTGTGAGGCAGTGTCCCGACATAGAGACGGATGACGGGAGTTGGTGTCTCGTGATCCGATGTGGTTTGCAGTGATTTCGACAGCCAGAGGTCGCTGCATGCAGACAGGAGCCAGAGGTCAGCTGTCGCCTCCAGCACTTTCTGTGTTCAGACCCTGTTTTCAGGTGCTCGGTCAACAGGTTGCCCTGGTGCTAATTGCCTTCTACTGTAGTTTTATATGCTTCCCGATTGTGACAGGCCCCAAAGACATACGGACCAGGGCCAACGGCTACGTGCACGCCGTGCTTGATAAGGGCTTGCCACAAGGCACTGTGTGAGCTTCCACTAGATGAGTCTTCTTGAAGAGGGTGACGTTCGCTAACTTAGATTCTGTCACAGGGAAATCAGGGAGGAGGGCCCCAAAATCTAGAAAGCTTGTAGGAGCTCTACGGGTCGAACTGCATACATGAGTGGACCGTCACATCTCATTCTCAGCCTTCTGCTACTGGACACTGACTACCCACCTCGTTTTGCTCGGATTCTTGTTTCGGCCATGAGCTTCTGCAGAAGGAGTCTGGGGTACACTTAAGCCGCATCCCCGAATCTTGAAAGCCCAGGATGTGTTGACGTTTGTGTGCTGCTGTTTCATCTTCCAGGACACTGAGTGTATTGTTGTGTCGTGTGGTTGCCAATAGCCTCGGGGAAATCATAACATAAGCCTCGTTGGAACGCATTGTGGGGCACACTACAAAATCCAGGCGCTGGCTGCGAAGACGTCACGGTCGTGTCTGTGCTGCCAGAATGGGCCGAGACGTGGGATGGGAGGCAAGCCATGGAGCAGGAGTTCCTCGGTGTCATACGAAAAGGCAGGACTTCATTTGTTGCTAGGCGCGACTGTGCTGAACCTTTCACAGGGTCAGGGGCCTTGACACAGCATGCTTCGCTGTTGTGCTACTAGATCTCACCTTCATGCCCTCGTTGCTGGGTCGCATCGTTTCCCGAATTGCAAGTGTTGGGGGCGGGCCTTGTTGTGCAGAAGGCCGAGCTCCATTGAAGCCGTATCTGTAAGACAAATGTCCGGAAGTTGCACTGATCGATTGAGCGTCCACACATGAGCTCCCATGGTCCAAGCTGCCACGCAATGTGGGATGTTTGCTGCATGACACGGCATCTTCATTGGGGTGCCCTCGGGGCCTTCTTCTGTAGAGCTGCCACGTTGCTTAGGGCTGTGAGCGTCTCGAGCTGCATCCCAGGCTCAGTGTGCTGATCAAGATGGAGGCACTGGCAGGACCTGGCTAGCCTTCAGAAAGCAAACTCCGTTGATACAATCTGACAGCTCAGCTTATCTAGGCGTCCAGGCTCGCTTCCCAAAACATCGAAGGCACCAAAAACTAAGCGACACGAGGGAGTACAAGCATCGCAAAACTACTTCGCCACCAGCTGGGCCCTTGTGTCGGCTCAGGACGCACAGCTTTGGCGGTTGGGCAGATGGCTGGCTTGCCTTACCGGCGACAGAGTTGGTCAGGCGGATGTGCTAGCAGGCAGCAGCAGTTTCGTTTTTATTTACCCCTCGTCTCCCTTGCGCCAGGATGGGTTGAACGCTTCCAGCCTGTCATCGTGACTCATCCAAAATTGCGAGCAGTTTGTTGATCTTCTCGCCTTGACATTGACAGCAGTCCAACCTGCCTGAGTTAGTTTAGGTCAAGACTACATCTCCAGGCGCGACCAAAGCCAAAGTCATGTGGTGCTGGGCAACACGGTGGCACAAGCATGCATACCGCTGCCTTCTCCGTGCCCTGCAAATGTGACAGAGGGCCGCCTGCACGAATTCCAGGATGGGGCGCTCGAGGAAGCCGATGGCAGCAAGCTGCAGCCGGCTGTTCGGGTTTCCATCTATGGAAGGCGTTTGGCAAGACCCTGGTGCATATGGCATCTGTTGAGCAGAGCTGCAGGCTGCAAGACAGGGCAATGGCTGTTGGTCAAATCCTTGCAGCAGCCGATAGGGAGGCAGTGTTGACAGTGCAGCGTCGGTTGACTGTATTGTAATCTGTTGGAATCTCAAAGCTTGCGACACGGGCAGGCCGCGGGACTCATGGCCGCACAGGTTGATGCTTTGCGACGAAACTACAGCGACTTGCTGCTTCAATCCGAGGGTGGCCCAGGACAGATCATGACTGTACCTGCCTGTGCTACTGCTGTGTGCGCCCGATGCAGCAGGTAGGAGTAAAGAGATTGACAGGAGCGGATGGCCTGCAGGAGTTCGATCTGGGATGCGATGCATTGGTGATGAAACGTTTTCTGCGGAAACTTTGCAATGAATGAAGCGTATTGCAAGCTGCCATGTGTTGCCGATTGCACTTGTCAGCTAGCGTTTGAACCCGAGGCCGCAAGATTCAAAAGAGAGCACGCGCAACGAGACTCTGGAAAGCGCACGGCCCCAAGAAATAGGGACTGAACGCTTCTGCACTCGCATTGCCGAGTTAAGCATTCGTCTGCTGGAAGGTTCTACTAGCGAGTGGCTGCAAAGACTTGCATATTTATCGTCGACCAGTTGCCGATGAGTTCCGCTTCTGCTGCTTAGCCACAGCCTGAGTTGCCCAAGCAGCATCCTGACATATCATCTCCGCATCCTGGACTCCTGGACTGTGGATTTATCTAAAGCAAGGTTCTGGGGCACAGAAGCCAGCGATGGCTTGCTGCAGAGATCTTGAGGCTCTGTGTGGCTCTTGCCTCGGATTGACACCAGCATCCGATTCGTGAGGACTGTCCTGCACAGCCTTGATGCAAGATCCTCTTCTGCATTGCATTCGAAGCTGCACAGCGACTGCACATTGGTAAAGGTTCCTCATCAGGCACGGAAGCACACAGTTGTGGTGGTTTTGTGATCCAGCTGCCATGCTACCATCTTGATTTGTGCAGTGCGCTCCAGTGCGCTCCAGGCGGTTGGTCAAATCTTTGGAAAACAACGGAAAAATCTACTAAAGCTGCCCGCTGTCGGCAAAAGGTGCCAAGTTCAGCTTACTGTTGGCCGTGTCTTAACTGCCTAAAAATGTGAAGCCTAAAACTCGTTCCTTTTAAGGATGAGTGACACGCAGACCGTGATCGTTAAAGTGAAGGAGGTCAAGAGCATCTCGCTTCATCTCGCCCGTCAGTTTGGTTTCGGACGCTACCGCTCCGCTGAGCTCCAGCCCAGGTGCTGAAGCGGAGAAGCAAAGTGCAGAAGAAGTTACGAGCTTTATGACGAACATGTACCAGGCATCGGCCAGTGCGGAGCTTTGGCGAGCCATGCGGGAGCGCAAGCTAAGACCAGTGCCAATTGGACTACTTGCCACGAAAGATCATTCGGATGTTGCAGTCTTTGACAAAAACAACCTGAATCGGTAATTGTGGGGTTCTTGATGTTGTTTGTGAAGATGGGGCAAGCCCATTATTTGCCGAGGGCCTGTTGTGCATGTCGTGCTGCCCAAATCGGGTGGGATTTTGTTAGCATCTTCTATCTCTACGAGCCACCTGCGATCGAGTAGCAGCCACAGGCAGAAGACGGGAGCGAGTTTGCCGTGTTTGGCAAGCCCCTGGCCCAGAAAAGGGCTCTTGCCAGCATCTTCGCGACTGTCGAAAGAGCCTCGACCTAATGGATTTCCTGTGCATTTTAAGTGCTCCAGCTCAAACGTCTGAGGACTGGTGCCAGGTTACGTCTTGCCAATGAGCCCTCAGGACCTCAGTAATGCGACGGCAGCAGTCTCCAAATCAGTAGATGCAGTACGAGACCTGTAAGGAGAAAATCGACGAGCTTCAATACGGTCTGGACAAGCTTCGTTTGCCGTTCGAGTTTCAGGAACAGCGGAAGTGCATCCTTGTTCTGTGCTGCCCGACGAACACCCTTGCGAGTCTCAGGAGAATGCCAGCAATGTGAAGGCAGAGCCCTGGCGTTTTGACGTCCTGGGTCCTGGGTGCGTACCGATGGTTGAGTAATGTCCAGATGCGACGAATGCGTAACACCCAAGGAAATCTTGTCCTGTGCGTCTGATTGCCATGCAGCTTGCGTCGCGGATTTGCAATCTTGCAGCAGTAAGCATAGAGAACTTGCTCGTGAGCTGCTAGATGCTGCTGGCATTCGTGTGCGAAAGATCTGAACACAGGACTGGTGAAGTATCTGGGCTAGGTTGAGTCGATTCTCTTGAGGTTGCTACTTGCCGGTGATCAGCACCAGAGGCAGAGAGCGCGAGAGTACGCCTACTTCCTCCGCGGCAAACACGAAGGCGCCTGAATCTTTCTCAACCCAACTCAGTATTCGGTGAGCGCACAAGCTTGTAAAGGCCAGTTCCCGAATGTTCCGGGCCTCGGGACTCGTTCCGATGCTTGCAGCTTATGGGTAGACGAGCGTGCTTCGAAGTCGCGATGGTTCTTGGATGAGCTGAAGAAGCTGATGCTGGAAACAAAGACGTGTGCTTTTTTCGATGATGGTCATGATGCAGAGAAGAAGCTTCGAAGATTGGTCTTTGCAGGATTCGGTGTGACACCGGACAGCATCCCAGACATTTGCGAGAGTGCGCAGTCTCTGGTGCAAAAGGCCATCGACTGGATCGACCAAAGGCCGGAAGATTCATGTTGAGGGCGAGCCGTGTCTCACTCGTCACTGAGACACACATGCGCGTTGACTGACTGACTGCGGCAGGTGCAGGAAGCAAGAGCCGAAGGCATCAAAGCCTTGGACGAACTGGAAAGATGCGAAAACATGGAACAGCTGGGAGCAGACCTCGAAAAGCTGGGAGCAGAACTCCAGGTGGACTTCAGAGATCTCAAAGCTAGATGCTTCCGCAGATTGGTCACGTGAAATCTCGGACGTCTCGCAGATCGAAGTCTCCACGGAGATGCCATGCCTGCCACCAATGACTCCCGCCTTGCCGAAGCCGTCGGAGCCGTCGCCGTCGATACATTCGATGCCCACCGCTGCTGGCTTTGGACCTCACGGCGGAGCTGCTCCCAGAACACCAGCCTTTCACGGACTGGACGCAGACGGACGAAGCCCTTGCACTTTCGGCCCCCATGGCGCGATGGCTCCGAAAACTCCCGCTATAAGCAACACTCGGAATCGGATTCCGCCACCAGCAACGCCAGCTTCGTTTGGAACAAGGCTTCCTGCAGACGTTCCTGAGCCAGCTACCCCTGCACCGCTGAGAGTGCCTGCCCAGACTGTGCCCGGCCCACTGACACCTGCACCACCTCCTGCAACTCCAGTTACCTCAGCAAATAGCGCAGCTCCTGCAGCCGGCATGGCTGGCACTGACCGAAGGCACACGGTCTCAGACCCTGCGACTCCAACAGTGTGGAGGGATCCTCCATCGCACACGGCTGGGTACCTACAAGAGCCTCCACCTCCCCAGACACCAACTGCAGCTCCAGCACGAGCTCCTCCGCAGACTCCCGCCGCCATCGCATCGATGCCACTAACCTCAAGAACAGAAGTTAATTAGAGACCGGTCGCCTGACTGGAAACACTTACCCCTACCCTAGAGCATAGGTCCTTATGTAGGCCTCTTGACGGTTAAGGCTTAGGGGATCTCCAGGCGACCTTCGCCAGCAGTGTTGTTCGGGTAGGACATGTCACCGGCAAGCGTGTGCAAGCGGCCCAAGCATCCATCGAACCGGTGTTTGCCATGGTGCTATTAGGCTATAGTGCCCAACGGAGTTTACCCTGATGACAAGGCAACGTGGCGAGAGCACGGATGAATTCTTACCGCCTGGCTGGCAGAGGTGCTTCGGCATGTTAATCCGTCATGCATGTGGAACGCATGCCGGAAGAGTGCAAGCGAAGGCAGGTTGACCAGCCTTGGGACAAGCTAAGGTGTTTTTCAAGAACGCACAAGAAACCATACTACTTCAACGCCAAGCTGAACAAGTCACAGTATGTGCGGCCAGCTTGATAAAAGCATCCGTTGCTGGCGGATTACTGGACCATGCCATATTGAACCGTCTTGCAACAGTCACTGGCGGCCTCAGGCACCTCTGACATGTAGTGCGCGCCCTGCAGGCAGATTTGAGAAAATGGCTCCCGGAGCTGGCCTGTTGAGCACTACTGGCTGTGTGCACAAATGCGAAGCCAATGAGGTCGTGTCAGACGCCTGCCTTCGAGCTCGTGGTCCTTAGACGTCAGCCAGTCAGTCTACGCATAGAATATGTGAGGATAAGTGCACCCGAGACCGGCATCCTTGCTTCACTTCTCCGCAGGGATGTCGGATGCTTCTTCCGAGTGCGCATTGGGAGCTCTTTCTGCGGTGCTTCTGGTGAGAAGCTCGTTTTTTGCGTCGGAATTGTCAGTAAGCTGTGATGACGTGTGATGACATGAATTTTATGCATGCGGAGGTTCTCTTGTGCGCGGCACCAAGTCTTCGGACCTCCAACAAGCATCAGCTTCTGCAGCACTCGCCGAAATGCCTGTTACACAAAGAGCCGTGGGCTTCCAGGAAAGGAAGTAGCTGCCCTCGGATGGCCCGTGGCTCGAAGTCGCCGGGCAAACGTGACCGGATCATCCTGCGCAAGTAGCTCGTGTTACAAGTGTGCGAACTACGACATACCCCCCCCCGAATCATTTATCCCCCGCACACCGTGTACTCACAAGAGTGAAAGACAAGCGTGAAAAAAGAGTGTGCGTTGTTTCGAGCAGCTCATGCTTAGCAGAATTTGCTGCGTCTCATTCAGACTTTTTCGAGTCTTCGCACTGAGTTTAATAACAGTGTTTTTGCACTCATCCACTCGGGATCTGCTGGTGCTGTTTGCACTGCATTCACATGTGTCCCATGTGATGTATTCTGCATTGTTATCACATTCTAACAACACTTTGCCAGCCGTGGTGCTGCTGCTGATCTCGCCAACCGTCTAGGTTTGCCTACCCTTTATCCGGATATTCTGCACAAGCACATGTAAATGGTTTAGGGGCTGGCAAACACAACAGAACAGTCCTGACATCTTGGTTGAACTTTGCACATTCCTGCGATTCTTAGTAGCATCGCCACTTGCACGATTAGCCGGATATTCTTTCCAGACAACTTTCAATTCGTGCCCATGGCTGCAGTGAAGCTTCAACAGCTGCGGAACAAGTAGCAAGTTCGAGGAAGATACATGAGTAGATCAGCCCACTTTCACATCAGCTTGGCGGCATGCCGGCAAGTCGCTGGGAACGAAGAATGGATGACTCCCCGCGAATGCTGGCGGCTCTTCGGAAATTCATCCAGACGAAAGCAAGAGTGCGAAGCCTTCGCAGAAGAAAATTGCTCGAAGCTGGAAGCCAAGGTTGAAGGCACCTTAGCTCCTGAATCCTTTCGCATAGCGATAGTCTTTTTTTTGCGGCTGGCGACAACTGGCTTCTCCGGCATCCCGACATCAAGTGCGGGTATGAGCCGTCCATACTGCCCGCCTGCAGTGACCCCGGAGCAGACATCTGAAAACGGAGGGCACTGGAGGAAAAGCTTCGGATACTGCTTGACAGTTGCTGTTAGCAGCCAAGCGTTGCTGCCTTCTGGAGCAGATCATGGTGACGCAAGCTTTGTGCAAGGCACTGCCGGCTGCTCTAGCCGACACGAGTTAGTGCCCCGATCGTGTTTGCAAATTGCAGAGCCTTTCCGGAGAAGCTGCTCGGCCGACAAGGTCAGCATTTGATGATGCATGGCATGTGGCTTAGCCTTGGGCACGCCGAGCCAGCCAATCCAGCCAGCATCTCGCAAGGAGGGCCTTCCTGGGCCGCCCTTTGCCCTTGTACGCCGCATAGAGCACAGAGCACAGGGGGCCAGGAGCTGCGATAAGAGATGCCGTCCCATGCTACAGGTATCTTCTCGGCACTTCGGCCTGGCCGGTTGCTTCACTTCTGGCCTGATGCCAAGGAGTCTAGCAATTGCAGAGGTCCCAGCTGCCCAGCCTTCTGATCAGGCCAAGTGGCAATCCACTTGTGGGGGCCAGTTCCTGCAGCAACGACCCACACAGCTTCAGCAACAAAACATCACCTTGGGCAATCACAAGTCTGGACCCACTCAAGCCGGGTCAAACGCCAGCACCTCAGAGTCGAGGACATGCTTCCATGGAACGATAAACAGCATCTGGCACTTTGGAGCCCAGCAAGGAGCCCAACTCAACGGCATTGGCACTTTGCGCACAGCCAGCACCCAGGTGATGAGAATTCTATGGACTCCTGCAAACGAGATCTAAGCGAGGCCGGAAGTGCTGGAGTTCTTGTCGCACGTCGAAGCGGCTACGCAGGAGCAGCCAGCCTCTCAGCCTTCTGAAGGTACCTGTGCTCAGCTTGAGCTGCATCCTGTGCTCAGTTTGATGCCGCTCCTTTGGCGGTCAAAGGAAAAGGCTGGGGCAGCAGAAGTCCTGCAGGAAGCCCGAAAACGCGTTTCTGCAGACGAGTGCGTGCACAATTTGCTACCGGACCGAGGCTCGGGCTCTTTGTCTCCAGCACCCTGCGTCCGGGGCCCAAGCCGAGCCGTGGCTCGCCTTGTCCTTGGGAGCTGCTCGAGGTCCACTGACGGCGTTCATGAATAGATCCTCGACTTGAATGGCACACCAGTCCGCACCGCTCGTGCCAATTGCGAAACTCAGAGATACCAAGGTGCACCTCGAGCAGATCCAGATTTCTGGACGGCCTGTGCGGCAGCTTGTGCTGCAGAGGGTGCTGCCCTTCTTTTGCGCAAGCCTGAGTGGCAGTGCGGCAGCAAAAGTTAGAGAACAAACACAATCAGTGCAAACCAGAGCAACATGTTAGCGCCAAGGATCCGATTGCTTGGCACGCCAGTGCCCCGTGACCCACTTGACCGTTCGGGGCCAAGACTGTCAAACTATAACTCCCATCGAAACTCAATGTCACGTTGCCGCCGTTGCAGGGCCTCGGCTAAGTGAGCGCGACCCTTGAGAGCGTTTTGAATGAAATCGAAAAGCCAAACGGTACAACGCGCTTCCCAGGCTTGCCAAGTTGGTCGCCCACATGCCCTTTGCCACCATAACGGAGACCTCGGCTGCCAGAGTCTTACCCAAAGCCCTTCGCCCACGGGTTGATTTGATGGTCCTTATTTGCTGAAGGTATTTTCTGCTGCAATCGCTGCATCGCACTACGTCGCGTGGCGCTCGTGCATACCTCAGACATCCATTTTTTTTCATTCAACACGCAGCGTCCGGTCTGAAGGACGCTTTGCGACCGCTCGAGAACAAGCCTTAAAAGCTCGGCATAAGCTGCACAACGCGCTATTGCACTGGGTGCATTCTCGCTGACAAACTAAGAGTGTCCCGCCACGTGTGGCAAAGCGGACACAAGCACACGCCTCCGTCACGAGTGACCAAGCGAGGCAGTAAAACATTATCAACTATAAAGCGGTGAAAACATGTGATTACAGCATGTGCAAAGTACACGTGGGCTCAGAGCAGTGAGTCAGGCGGTGCTCCTATTATCCAAGCATCCGATCAGTCCGTCATCTGCAGACCCAGCAAATAGCAGTTGCAGTAAGCATGTTGTAGCTGTTGTTCCGAACAAGGCTTAGCTGGTCTGCCATCGTCTGTGATCATACTAGTCCAGCACGGGGCTGTCGGATGCTTTCGGAAGCCACTCAGCAAAGCTTGGTAGTGGCCTGAGTGGACACCTCAGACATCCTCAGACGCTGCAGACATAAGAGGATCCCACATGCAACACTGCTCCAAGGCATGACCTTTTTCTGGACGTCAAACGTGACGAGGCCTCGACCTTGGTGTTGAGTCGGCTTGGCATCGCCAAACTGTAGTCAGAAGCAGCGGTGCTGTGCTCGTTCAGCGAAGCATGCCAAAACTTAAGAGAAGGGGCGGCTTGCATCAGGTTCGCCGAGTGCTGGGAAAGGCAGCAGAGCAAGAAAGACCCTGAGCCACTGTCCCCCCCCAGTTGTCCCTGTACACACTGTCTCCACATGAGGTGCAGGAGTCCTTTCAGCAATGCAAGTCCGGCTGCGGGTTGCTGCAGAGTTTACATGAGGCTTGGTCGATTTGTGGATTCAGAAGCTGCTCGCCCAACCGCGGGCAGGGCGTGCCCCAACATCGTCTTCGTTTTTGGGAGGCATGAGTTGGCATGTTGGGCTGGCAACTCTTGGGTCACCAATTTGGAGGCTGTGGCTGAAGCAGATCTTCCTCCGCAGCAGTCCAAGGGGCTTGATCTGGAGAACGATGGGGCACCGAAGCATAGAGCGGCAACATCTTGAATTTTGCTTGTGGCTGCAGCTTGTAGTGTAAGGTTGTGGAGGCAGGTTTGCCGCGTGGGTCCAAGAAATGATGAGTGTCTCCGTGCATGCTGGGCCTGGGCCGGTGCTGCAGAGGCTGGCTCATTTCCAGGCCGACAACGCGCACGGAAGGCTGCCACCTAGATTCCTAGATGCCCCAGTGTAGCCAGGGAGGGCCTTAGCATGTGCCGCCTCTCATGAGATGGGTTCAAAAGTCGGTTGTTGGTTTTGGTGGGGGCGGTTGTCGAAGATGGCAAATGTTGGCGGTGACCTGAAGAACGATAGGGGACGCCCTAGAGACGATGCCCCAAATACAGAAATGTTCCCGTTGCAACTGTAATCTTAGCTGCTTGTTTCGTTCAAGAGAGGGCTTCCGGAGTTCGGGGTTTAGCTCGAACGATGCCCAAATGCACAAAGCCCTCCGAAACAAGTTCTTGATGACAGCATGATGCTGCGGGCCCAATTGAAATTCAAAGCAATGAAAGCGCAAAACCCACAGGATCCAAGAACCTGAAAGTACCCTGCAATGCGGGCTAGTCCTAGCAAGGTGGGAGGCAAAAAAAAGAACCTGAAACTCGAGGCCCATGCCTTACTTCCCTTGTGTTTTGGCCTTTGGTACGGGCATTCCACTGCCAGACTTGACGGAATACCTGCCATGTAGACCTTCGGGAGTGCCATGCGGGAGCCAAAACAACCTCAAAAGGCCCCAGAGGTCCCAACGCACGGCCACAACCTTGAATGTCACATGTTCTATACTGCATCTCCCTACGCGCAGCGTATCGTTTGCTCCCGTATGCTTCAAGCTGCCAACAGTGTAAGAACGATAGGAAACGCCCGAATCCAGGGACATGGCTGGCAGAAACACATAGTTTTGACCCCTGTCTGTGTCGACGACAGCCCAGCGCCGTCCCCCTGAACAATAGATGCTAGACATTACCATGTATTGCCTTAGAGAGTAAATGCTTGTGTTTTGAGACCAGGTCTTTGTGTGAGGGAACCACGAGAGACATGCCCGGAATGGAAAAGCCTCATGATCTTCCTCATAACGCAGCAGATGAGATTGGCGATGGTCATGTAGCACCTGAGCCATCAGTCAAATGTGAGTCGTTCCGCTGACTGTACTGATGACCAGATGCACCGGCGAGTGAACCGATCACCAAACAAGCAACAGCAAGACTGTCTTCGGTCGTGTCGCAGATTCGTGCATTGAGTGGAATGGAACGGGTGCAAGGATTGCTTGAGCCACGACAACTGTCCCAGAGTGAGTTCCCCTCCAGAGGCAAAACCAACAGGAATGATGACGAAATCAAACCCATGAGTCTTTCGGTGGTGATCAAAAAGTGCTGCGGAAGGATTGCACACAGGAGCAAGTTGACTCGGCTGTTGATGGGTCGATGGGTGAGGGGAATAGTGATGCCGCATCGAAGTGTCGCTTTGTTGTTGGTCGATGCTTGCAACGCACTGCACCAATGTGCGACGGCACTATCTTCGTGTCGGGATCTTGCTTGTAATGTTATCGGCACGTACCTGGAGTGACACTGCCAAGCATTTCAGTGGCATTGCACACGCCATGATGGGAGAACATGCTTTTGTTGGAAATTTAAGAAACAGTATGCGGTGTGCATGCCATCCTTGTGGCAAGATCAGCTCGCTGAAGGCACGCATGACGACAAATTCAAGGGGTATCTCACCGACCCGCATCTTTAAATCACTGCGATTTTGTGCTCCGATGTTGCATGGAGATGATGAAACGAGGTCCAAGTCCATGAACTCGGAAGTGTCATAGCAAGTGCTGCTTATGACGACATCGCCTGATACGCGTTACTAGTAGCAATTCGTTTGACATCAGCATGTCCAGTACATACTGAATTGCTTGGAATGGAGAAGTGCCAGATGGTGAACACCACGGGTCGACAGTTGCAACAACGATGAGCAAAGAGGCACACGCACTGTATCGGCTTCCCTGGTTGCGCTCCTTAGTTTTCCTTCCATTCGTGCTTACATGAACATGGTATGCACACGCAAACCATCACAAGCATGCTCCGGACGCGGCCAGCCTGCTTCTCACTTCTGATGGTTTCCTGCGCAGGTTCCTTGCACAGTACACCAAAGTCGCCGCCTTAGAACCCTTAGAGTAAAGCGTGCAGGAGCTGAGTTTGTCCAGCGATGGAGTTCTCCGCATCAATTTGACTAGCACGCTCAGCGAAGCTGAACCGCAATCCAACAAGCAAACCGAAGCGAATATGAGTTTTTTGTGACAGGAGCAGGATAGCTGCCTAATCGAGACCAAATCAGGACGAACGACTGTGACCATGTTGCGAGTGGAGTGAACTCATATCGCACATTGCAGAGATTGGGCTTAATTATCCTTGTTGCCACATGACATCCAAACCGAAATGTGCCGTTAGTTAGCCCGGCATCCATTTGGGGAAGTTGGTTTTCAAGCTCCACCGGGAGCTCCTCATATAAGCTCGTGGAACAACCGGGGCCCTGAGGAACACCACGGCACATGAGGCCTGCCTCAAACACGTTTGAGGTGTGCAGCAGGTCTGAGGTAATAGTGCGAAGTTTCATAAAGTTGTGCGTGATGCCACGAGCACGACCATCAAAGAACATGCTGGGGAGTTGCACTTCACTTGTCTATGTAAACTTGCCGACCTCTCCATTGAATTGCGCAGGTATGGTGCTTCAGCAGTGCCCGTGTACTTCGCCATCGCGTATGGGTCCATGGATGAGCGCTGGGTTTGGCACTTCTTAAACAGAGCCTTGGACTTGAGGCAAGGCTTGCAAGTACAGGTTGCGTGTTATCAAGTCAAACCTGGTCAGGCTTCCGCGGGTTGTGTTCGCCACGCCTGCTGCCCAGCCGTGGGCCTCAGCAAAACAGAGCCACGCGGTCGTGGAAGTTCAGTGATGGTAGCCAGCCGCTCGATGCTGTACTGAGATGGATGCTGTTGTGCGAAGATGTGCGACAGACGCGCCAGAGATTGTCCGAGTTGCTGTGTTCGCATCCTAGCCTCGAACTGAGATTCGACCCAGCTGACTGATGAAATGCCTAATTCCCAGGTTTGCACATCTCAAGCACATCTGCCAGACCACTTGATGTTCACGACAAGGCACGCTCAAGGCATCATCCGAAAAGGCGCTGGCTTCTGAAAATCCTTTTCAAGGCAAAATTTTGCCTCCTGCCGGTGTTCTTGTCCCTTGGATCCGGCCTGATTTTGTTCGGGCGAAGTGTGAGCCGAGCCCAATGCGGTCCAGCGTTCAAGGCCTGGACGTGATCTCCCTGGATCTGGATGTTTTTCTTTTCAAGGAGCGCTGCAAAAAAGTGGCCGGGTCGCGGGCCGCATGCTTTGCTCGTGCGCAAGGATCCCACAGGGCGACTTCTGGAAACCGTCTACAGCACATCGCCTGTGGATGTGGCAGCGGCGCCCCTAGCACCTCAGCACAGAAGAACCTGTGCTTTATTCTGGGCTAAGGTTACTGATCATTTTGATGGTACCTGCCTGGACGCCGGAGTCCTTTTCGCGACACTGACAGCTTTGACTGTTTCGTTTCTAGCTTCGGCCCGCACGTGACGCCCGGCACGGGATCGCTTCTTCGAAGGTGGCCCGCGGACGTTTGCAACCCAGAATAAAAAAAGCTTTGACTGTTTCGGACCCGGTTGCGCTCCACGAAGAGTCCAATCACGTCATTAGCCAGTTCTCTCGAATCCTCTTACTTGGTACGGGCACCAATGTAGCCTGCCGACATTCCACCTTTCGAAATTGATATTTTTGTTTAAGGTGAACTTGCCCTCACGAGTTTCTTAAAGCCTTCAAGATGTTGTGAACACTTGCACACAAGCAAATCGAAAGGCATGTGGCTGACCTGCCAACGCAAAAGTGAGTGATCCGAAGGCTCCGCCAGCAGCAACACTGTCACTGCCATCGCGGAATTATTTTGCTAATCTTCTTTGCTGATCCACGCGGTGAGTTATCATGAGCAGAAAAGCCTGAGCTTCATTTTCAATCCGAGAGAGAGGGAGAGTACATATAATGTGTTGGGATATGTGTATAGGAGGAGTGATGTCAGGTGATGTGCGCAGCGAATGCTTAGAAGCTGAGAGTCGCGACATGAATCCTAGGAACCCGAGAGCATGCCAAGACGCAGCTTCTAGGGGATCTCCTCGATCCTCAAGATGAGTTGTTGTCGTCTTAAGGTTCACTACCCTTTTGTTTGTATTTCTCTTTGTTCTCTCCATCTCTCTCTCGCTGTCGTTTGCCTCTCTGCCTCCCCTATTGCCCGTTGCTCTGCATTCCGCTCGCTGGTTCCATCTTTCTTTGTCTCTCTCCGTTTCCCTCTCGTCTCCTCCCTTCTCGGTCTCTTGAATTTTTCCTGGCCGGGAGGGGTCGTGAAGGGCCAGGGCTGCGGTGAAGGAGGCGTGCGGGACCTGAACTTCACAGGAAGCCTCACAGCCGGGGTGATTACAGGGCAACCTCAACTCGCGAGGCTGAGATGGCTGCCCCGGCTTCTGGAGGCATGAACCATCATTGAGTAGTTGCGCCAGGTCCGGGCAAGCGACCAGGCATTGCTGTGGGTCCTGTGCCTTGTTTGCACTTCTATTTCCTCGACTGCCAGAATGCATCATCATCGTCGTGCAAGTTTATTTTGCTCGCGTTGACAGTCCAGGAGCCTTATAGAGTGGCTCCATTCGTATCCGTACGGCCCGCTTCTGAGAAATTCGGTGAAGATTGCATCCCACGAGCTTTCAGTCCACGGGCAGGTCACTTTCAGAACGGCCTGAGCCTGAGTCCAGCTGAGGATGCTGTAGCCGGGCTGATAAATTAGCTTCTGATCACCGACAACTAGGGCAATGTGGAAGCCGAGCCGTGTTCTTCCAGAACAGAAGCCCGATTCGCGAGTCCATGAGCGTTCGAATATGCGAGTTCCTGGGAAGACAGCAGGCCTCACATCACCAGCATGCTGACAAGCTGCAGGGTACTGCGTCTCGGAAAACACGGGAACATGAGGGCACAGGACACGGCGATGACCATTCCACGCAGACGACAGACGACTAGGCCAGCATCATATTATATCCAGAAGGCCAAGATTGCCAAAGGCCAGGGCCACAGCGATGAGCCCAGCTTCTGAACCAAACAAGCTGGAAAAAAGATAAGCTTGTACAACAAAACTAAGGAATTCTATCGTGCACTACCCAACACGAATACAGCCCTCCCGAAACCTTTCCCCGAGACGTCGATTGAAATTTCGTGGAATGGCAAGGTGCTTGTCGGAATACACCAACCAGCTATTAGGGTCTATCCACAGAGAGGGTGGGTCGGAGTTAATGATGTGATGCTGAGTGACGCCACGGGTGACCATCTTGAGTGATATTTGCTGTGAAACGATGTCTCAGCTGCTACAGGCAGGCCTGCAGAGAGTTTACAGGACTGCTGGGGCCATTGCGGCCCCTCTGTCATCGCAGGAGATCAAGATTGACAGGCGCAGCCTCCCCCAGGTTTTCACTGGGCTTCCTGGAATGCACAAGGCAAGCATATCAAATCAAAGATATGTTAGTGCGTGCACGAGTTGATTCGGCAGAGCTGCTTCAAACGAACTGCGGCCGCTCAAGGTTCAAGTCTTATAGGATCATGGGTCTCGGAAGCCTCTGGCTCATCGTTCTCACTCGGATCTTCGAAGCTGGATTACGAGGTTGGGAACGGACGGCAGCCGCACCCCCTCACTTCTTCGAGCCCGGCTTGAACTACACCTTGACCTGCTCCTGTGATTGTAATTGTGGGCAACCAGGGCTAGCAGGCGGACCGGTGGTGATCAGTGTCGTGGTCTTTGCTACAGGGTTGGCATTGGGAAGATTGTGGTGTGGCCGAGGTCATTTCCCCGCCGTGCCCGATGTCGCATCCGCCTCTCCGCGCCGACGGGGCAAGGGCATTGTCACAATGCCTACCGGGTGACCGGCTGGTGGTGTGGTTTCTAGACGACACCATGTGGCATGAACGGGTACTCGTGTGGCCCCAAGATGACAGCAGTTGGTGGATATGCACCCCCGACTGGGATGTCTACGTGGAGCAGATCGTGGGCGACGGACAGGACGGAGCGGTTACCTTTCAAATCAAGGGCACGGACTTCCAGTACTTCTCCCGCTTGAGGAAGCCCATCTATCGGTTCAAGGAGGTGGTGACGGACAACGACCTCAGACAGCTTGTGAAGCAGGTGCTGGATCAGAAGGAGGCTGACGGAGAACCCGATGGGAGAGTCCCACAGAGCATTCGAGATGCAAAGGGGACCACTGTCCAAGCCAGCAAGTTCCTGGGCACCATTTTGGTGCGTCGCCGGGCGGTGGGCAAGGGCCCCGTGGGAGCAGGCGCTCCGATCGAGCCTAGTTCTCCGCCTCATTCTGCTGCCCCTGGTCTTGTTCCGATTTCTCAGGCCCCCGATGGCAAAGTGTGGTTGTCTGCAGAGCATTTTGGGGGCAGAACCATTGGAGAGGTCGTTGAGGTGAATCCTTCGACCGACTTTGAGTTCGGAGGCGAGGTTGGGCTAGTGAGAGTCCCCGCCGGCTGGCTTAAGGTCGAGCTAGTGGATGTTGGGATGCAGGCGAGCTTCAAGTCCACGAGGAGCCCGGCGTTGACTCATGATGAGGTGATGCCGGTGGTTGGGGAGAGCCAGGTCGTCCCTGAGGATGAAGGCGGTGACGCCCGTACTTTGTATCTTGACTTTGACAACCAAGGCACTCGATACAAATCATGGAAGGCGCTGGTTCAGGAATGCAAGGATTTTACCTACAGTGACTGGCCTCATGAGGGGCCGGCCACCACGATGCACTTGATCAAGGCGATGGAGCGACAGGCGGGAGATCCGAAGGGGTGGCTCGAGATGTGGAGCCGATCACGTGGCATTGCCGACTCTGACCGGGTGAAACATGAACTGAGGTGCCTGGTGGAGGCGGTTTGGCTCGGAGGCACATTCGATCAACTCAATCTCCCAGTGCTGTCGAGTTTCGAGACCCTTTCGCGTCGCATTGCCGCGATAGTCGAGGCCTACAGCCAGGGACCTTCATCGTCGCCGGACTGTCCAGCGCCAGACTCATCACCGGATACAAGGGCCCTGAGGACATTGTGATGCCTCAGTTGAAGACTTGGGTCGCCCGACGCAGAAAGGAAGAGGCTGATCTACATCAGGCCAGGAGTCGGGTGAAGGAGCTAAGGCGGGGCGCCCAAGTCGCGGAGGAGGGGGCAGATGCGGTTGCAGACGGTAGTCTTCCAGCTGGCGCCAGACCGAAGCCGAAAGCCAAAGGAGGGGGCGGCGTTTGGAGGCGCCAAAAGATACATGAGGACAGGCGAAGTGGCCGGTTGTTTCCCCGAGGCCGGCTGCTCAGTTGAATCCATCGGGGCCCCTCCGGGGCTTACGAGGCCCTCTGCATGCTCGGCGCTGCCTCTTCCTGTGCCTGAGTTGGGTGCTCCTCGTGAATGCGGGGGGCGACGTTCTCAACAAAGGGTGGCGCAAAGGAGTCGAATTAGATTTGAGCTGCGAGAAATGGTCGCGGCCCTGAATTGGATGCATTCCGGGAGTTTCTCTACGGAACCCTCGGTTGGAGGTGGCTGTCGCCTAAGTGACCCTTTTGTGGATGCGAGGCTTTGCGATCTCCTTCGTCATGCCGGTCGGTTGGGCTCTTTGTCCCATCCCCCGAGTTGCGAGGCGGCCCTCCGGGAGCTGCTCGCGGGAAGAGACGATTACCATTCGCCCTCTTCTCCAGTTGGTCTTGCGCCCTACAACCTCGAGCTCGTCAGCCTCCCCGACGATGTAAAGCAGGCCCCTTATGCGGTCGATTTGTTGGGTGAAGATGACCGTCGATATCTGTTGGAGCAGGAGCGCATGCTTCGGCCTGGGCCGGCCTCTGAGTCGCGGGCTCCCGACCCTTACTGGGACCCGGCTCTCAGGCACTCACCAAGGCGATACCGACAGTTCATTAAGAAGTTGGACAGCATAGGCTATCTGAAGTACACGCTTCATCCCGGATGATCATAGACGCGAGGCCCGCGAATGCCCTATTCCTCGAGCCCCCAGGCGTGGACTTGTCGACTTCAGAGACTTTTGCTCGCATGCAGTATTTGTCTGATGAGGGCATGAGTGGGGGCCACCCAGACGAGCAGGGCATCTTCGTGGCACTCTCAGATGTCCGTGATTGCTTCCACCGGGTGAAACAACCCGACTGGCTTTGCAAGCATTTCTGCTTCCTGCCGATTGCTGCGAAGCACTTGGGAATGGTTGGGGCAGGTCCTCGAGCCCGAGACCGAGGTGTTTCCTATGCCAGGCTCGCTGGCTATGGGATTCAGTTGGTCACTATTTTTCGCCCAACGTATCTCAGAGCGTCTGATGTCGCAGGTACCCTCTCTCCAGCACAGCAAGTTGGCGGTGGACAGAGGCGAGCCGATCTGTTTCTCTGATCAGGTGCAAGATGAAGCTTATCACTATGTTTATGTCGACAACCTAGGTGTCCTTTCTAGATCACACGATGTGGTTGCCAGAGGCCTCGTGGAGCTCACCGAAATCTTCAATCGCAAAGGGCTTCTGCTTCATGCGGGCGAGGTTGGACATGAGAACATACAGACGTTGGGTGTATCCCTGGACGGTGTCAACCTCACCACATCCCTGACTCCTGAAAGGTTTCACCGTGTTCGACAAGGAGTTCGTGGGCTTCTTCGTCGAGGCAAGTGCTCAGGGAAGTTGCTTGAGGTGGTGATCGGCCACTGCACTTATTGTGGCCTGCTACATCGCGGTACCTTGTCCGTCTTTCACGCCGTGTACAAATTCATACAGAGGCACTACAGTGATACAGTGAAGCTTTGGCCTTCTGTCAAGATTGAGTTGCGTGTCTTCGCAGGCCTCATGCCCTTCCTCGTCTCCGACTGGTCCAGACCCTGGAATGACAAGGTGTTCATCTCGGATGCGAGTGAGGAAGGTTTCGGGATTTGTGCTGCGGCGTGGCCAATCGACGAGGTTCGCAAAGCGGGTGCCATTAAGGAGAGACTTCGGTTCCGCCGCTCAGGCGGACATAACGCTAGAGAGAGCGCGCTGACAGCTGCCGGAGTCGTTCGGGATATACACACCGGTGCATGGAGGGCCTCGGAGCTCCCCGCAGAAGAGTATCTCGAGACCGCAGGCTGGGAGATCAACCAAGACTTCCCTGAAATCAATGGCTCTCTTCTTGCGCGAGATTGGGAGACTGTTCAGGCGGGCGAGTGGGCCAGAGCCGAGCACATTGTGCACTTGGAAGCTCGGGCCCTGGTGAAGAGCTTCGAAGCCTGTCTTGACTCTTGCCGTTGTGGAGGAAGTCGTCAGCTTATGCTGTGTGATAGCATGAGCGCTGCTTTGGCTTTCGAGAGGGGGAGGTCACGCAACTTCAAGATGCTGCGACAAATCCGCAAGCTCTACGGGCATGCACTCCTTTGGAATGTCGATGTTCATTTTAGGTGGGTGCCATCCGAGCTCAACCCCGCTGATGGCCCTAGTCGATTAAGCTCCAAAGTGGAATCAAAGACTTTGTTACGCAGCCTTCCTTTGTATGATGCCGACAGCCTCCACCGTGACTGGGCCGAAGAGGGTCCGGACTTTGCCGCCGGGCTCCGGGACTCCTTCACAACCGGTAAAGCGAAGCAGGACGCTGGCACCAGGAAGCGCGACACCAGGGTCCTCGCAAAGGACCCGAATCCTGGTGGCTCAAGACCTTACAAAGGAGCTGAACAGCAAGAGAGCCAAGCAGCCGCTCAACTTGGAGAC